AAGGTGCAGAAATATTTGTAATCGATTTTAATTGTGGTATACTTTAAAAAAAGTAAGAAGTTAAAAGGCGGTTTCAATTTTAGGTATAAATTCAAAGAAAGTTTCAACTTAAGGTACGGTATATAAACCATTCATAAGAGAATCATTTTCTAGTATTTGCCTATTTACTATGTTTCTACTCCATAACTAAGACAGGCAAAAAATGAATTGTTTAAACAATGGAACCTTAGAGCTTTAAAAATTTTAAATAAGATATTCAAAAAAGGAAAAGTTTTAAAGTCCGCTTGCATGGAAGTAGCGAACGTATAGTATATTTTTTTTTTATTCATGAATTTTTATAAACGGAATAAACGTCTTTAAAAAAAGTTTTCATATCTTGGAGTATCTGAATTTATTTTCCAATTGAATTTTTCGATGATACAGAAAATACATGGTGTTTTTCATCCTATCATAACAGTTATAGGGAATAAAGTTACGTGCGTGTGTGTTGGTGAGTGAATGTTGACTCATATGATTTTTTTAATATCGGGATCGATGTGCTTTTTGCGAGGGGGTGCCCCGTTTTGTGCGCGGTGTCATTCTGCATGGGATTCTCTCTCTCTCTCTCTGCATATATTTCCTTTAATCTTTAAGTGTCCGAGTGCTTTATATATTTTATAAATTGAATTAGATTATTTTATATAAAAAGATTAATTTGTATGGATTTAAACAAATATTATTTCCCTACTTATTATGTTACATATATAAACTATTCCTAGATTCTGTCTAGACCCCCCCTTCTTTTTACAAAATAACTAGATCTGCTCTAGAATAGTCTAAAAATAATAATAATATACGAAATTCCTTATGAATAATTAAAAAGTAGTCGCTTGGAAGGAAAGAATTAAATACTTTCTCAAGTTTTTAATTCTCAAGACGATTGAGGTTATTTAAATAACGTAATTTTAAGAATTTCTGAAAAATGAAGTAGACGCAGGCGACGTCATTACGTTTTCAGTGAATAACGTCAAAGTTGTTTTTGGAGCGCCTCACTAAAATGCTCATTAAATACTGAAAAAGTGAGATATTTTCAAAATTTATGTATATTTTCTTTCAGAAAGAGTCCGGCTATCAAAATTCATCAAAAAGTCATTTTATGAAAATTTGACCTTAAGGGCCCTTTTCTCGTGACGGCAGTCATATATTTCTATGTAAAGATTTTATTGCCCATTATGGTCCTACCTTACCCCCCAGGGGTCATGATATGAATAACTTGAATTAACTGAGGATGTTTCCATATTAATATCACCAGTCATAGCGTTGCTGATCTTGAAGATTTTTAAAGGATTTTTCCTATATGTATTCCTATGTAAAACTTTGATCAGCATTGTGGCCCCTCCCTATCCTTGGGGGTCATGATTTGAATACTTGAATCTACACTGCCTTAGGATGCTTCCACATGAGTTTCATCTTTCCTGGTCCAATGAATTTGAAGAAAAAGATTTTTCCTTTATATTTCTATGTTAAACTTTGACCAGTCATTGTGGTCCCACCCTACCCCTGGGGGGTCATGATTTGAAGAAACTTAAAATCAAAATAAATATGATCATTTATGCCTTAAAGTTTGTTTTCCTTGAAAAAAAAATTTTTTTTAAGGATTTTCGATCATATATATATCTATGTAAAACTTTGATTGGCCATTGTGGTCCCACCCTGCCCTTAGGGGGTTACGATTTAAAAACAAACTTGAATCTTTCATATAAATATGGCCAATCATGGCTTTGCTATTCTTTAGAAGAAGATTTTGAAAGATTTTTCCTATATATTTCATATAAAACTTTGATTGTCCCTTGTGTACCCGCCCTATCCCCGGGGGTAATGATTTGAACAAACTTGAATCTACACTAACTAAGGATGCTTGCATATTTCTTTGACTTTACATTTTGCCCTTTACATTTGAACTTACATTGTGGCCCCGCCCTATACCCCCAGGGGTCATGACTTGAACAAAATTGAATCTACACAACCTGAGAATGCTTCCATATGAACAGGACTAATCACGGCTTCGCTATTTTTGAAAAGATTAAGATTTTTAAAGATTTTTTCTACATGTTTCTATGTAAAACTTGGCTTCCATGTTGCGGCCCCGCCCTACCCCCAGGGGTCATGATTTGAACAAACTTGAATCTCCACTACCTGAGGATGCTTCTATAAAAATATGTCATTCATGCCTTTACTATTCCAGAGAAGAAGATTTTTTAAAAAAATTCCCATATATTTTTATGTAAAATGTTGATCGGCCATTGTGGCCCGCCCTACCCCAGGAGGTCATGATTTGAATAAACCTGGATCTACACTACCTGAAGATGCTTCCCTATAAGTTTCATCTTTCCTGGCACAGTGGTTCTTGAGAAGAAGATTTGAAAAGAATTTTCCTATAGGCCTATATTTCTATGTAAAATTTTGATCGTCCATTGTGACCCCAGGGGGTCATGATTTGAACAAACTTGAATCTACACTACCTGAGGATGTTTCTCTATAAGTTTCAACTTTCCTGGCAAAGTGGTTCTTGAGAAGAAGATTTAAAAAAAAATTCCTATATATTTCTATGTAAAATTTTGATCGTCCATTGTGGCCCCGCCCTACCCCCGGGGGTCATGATTTGAATAAACTTGAATCTACACTACCTGAAAATGCTTCCCTGTAAGTTTCATCTTTCCTGGCACAGTGGTTCTTGAGAAGAAGACTTTCAAAGAATTTTCCTATATATTTCTATGTAAAACTTTGATCGATCAATGTTTCCCTACCCTACCCCTGGGGGTCATGATTTAATTGAACAAACTTGAATCTACACTACCTGAGGATGTTTCTCTATAAGTTTCAACTTTCCTGGCACAGTGGTTCTTGAGAAAAAGATTTTTAAAACATACCACCAAATTTTCACTATTTCTTAATTATTTCCCCTTGAATAAGGGCGTGGCCCTTCATTTGAACAAAGTTGACTCCCCTTCACCCAAGGATACTTCGTGCAAAAGTTTGGATGAAAAGAAGATGAAAATGTGGAAAGTTTACAACGACGACAACGACGACAGACAACGGACAAAATTTGATCAGAAAAGCTCACTTGAGCCTTCGAGCTAAAAAAATGTAAAAAAAAAAAAAAAAAAAAGTTTACAGACGGACAGACGGACTACAAAAAAATGTGATCAGAAAAGCTTATTTGAACTTTCAGCTCAGGCGAGCTTACAAAAACTATTAACGAACTAACAGTGTTGCAGACGGAAGTAGTCCAGGATTTTTTAGACACATCTTTGACCACAGTGACAGTTTGGCTTGACTGCTCATTTACTGCAAAAGCATGCGCTGAATCTCTTGCTAGTGCCCATATTGTCCCTTGAGCAGGTGTGACAGAGTTTGTCAATCTTTGAAATTGTGTGACAGAGTTTGTCGATCTTTGAAATTGTGTGACAGAGTTTGTCGATGTTTGAGGTTGTGTGACAGAGTTTGTCGATCTTTGAGCTAGTGGGACAGAGTTTGTCGATCTTTGGGATTGTGCGACAGAGTTTGTCGATCTTTGGACTTTTTGCAGAGTTTTTCGATCGTTGAGCCGGTGCGACAAAGTTTGTCGATCGTTGAGCTGGTGTGACAGAGTTTGTCGATCTTGTGAGTCGGTGCGACAGAGTTTGTCGACTCTTGCGTTGTCGTCTCTTGGACGGAGCTCTGGGTGATCGGGGGGGGGGGGGGGTTCCGAGGTCCTCCAGAGTCGGCGTCGGGTGTTAAATGTAGTCGGAAGGGGCCTACCTGTTGATGGCTTTAACCAGAAGCTGAAAAAAACATCAATCAGGACCCTACACGCTAGCTGCAGAACTGTAGCGTTATGGTTTCAAGTACATGTATTAGTCTTTGACCATATAACGCTACAGATCCCGTAATACAAAAATGTGCAATTTACAGCACAAGATTTTTTTTGCACATATTTGGGCCAAATTTCTCCACTTTCTAGCATTAGTCAATCAACTACCTTTCACTCCCTAATTTTAGACACAATCTTTATCCAATCTGTATACTTTATCCACCTCCCAACCCTATATAGTCTCCTCTATATGCAATAAACTCACTTAATGTGAATATAACGCAATCCAACAGACAATTCTAATCAAGTTAAAACAAATTGACGCCTATCCCCTTTTACGAAATAGGATGTTCAAGTTTGGACAATTTTCTTCTTTTTCAGGTAGATTGATTTTTTATTTCGGGCAGAGAGTGAGTGCCCCTCACCCACACAGAAAAACGCTGCTACGTCACTGGTTTACAATTTATAAATGGTAAAATATGTCCTGCTTCCTTTAAGAGCCTTTTATATCCCTGAATCCTTTTCTTAAGGGTCTACAGGGATGCATCGTCTCAAGCCACGGTTCGAAGTCCGCACATAGCTCTCTCCCAGAATGGGACAGGGTTGTACACATTTTGGCAACGGTCTATGATGATGACAGGAATGTGGCCATGGTAAAGTTTCCGACAGCTTCAGTTCCATCAATCGTAATTCTACAATTCTGACTTACAGTATTTTAATACTAATTTTTATTTAAAAAAAATGTACTCACAAAGGTCCATATCATATTGGAGAGAGAGAGAGAGAGAGAGAGAGAGAGAGAGAGATTGCATGTAAATAAAATATAAATGAAAATTAATCACCACAAAAACATTTGGGGAGGATGCGATAGTGTAATATTATTCAAGTACACATCCCTGAAATCAGTATAGATTTTCACAGAAAGCGATCAAGAAGGTCGAAAATATCGGAAATTCACTTATAGCTGGGTCTACACCACGGCTTTCCCAAACCTCATGCCTCCTCGGGCGTCCATTTCAAAAGTACCCTAGCTATACCCCTGGTTTTAATTGATGTCAGAGAAGTTGAAAGAAAATTCTCAGGTTATTGCTATTAAAACGTATTTCTATACACTCCCCGTCGATTTCAGGGGATTCCGAAACATTGATCACGTGACGAGAACCTGCTTACGTCAGACTGATTTTGAAGGTTCACCTGTCAACATCCGTCATAGCTTTTGCTTCTGCATTTGCATTCATTCTGCGATTTCACACTGCTATTCAACGAGACAACTTGCACAGAAGAAGATTCCTACGAGATGAGGTTGGTTTTTTGATGTCTTCGTATTTAATTTGCGACTTTATACAGCTTTTCATAAAAATAACACTCGGTGAATACCCGAACATTCGCCCTCCAGCAAAAACCATGAGGGATTAGACCGGAACATATATTTTGAATTATTTGTTTACATGTATATTCAAGTGTATTATTATTAGTTTAACATGTATAATTTTGCGACTTATTTGTGAAATTGCAATAGACAAATGTCGATGTTCATTTTTATGGAAAATTGAATACATCCGGTTAAAAGTGCGCATGCGCATGAAGATTTCTTATGAGAATTGCCTACCATGCGTTCAACATAAATTTAATTTTGCATGTTTTGAATTTTTAAAATTATATCTTTATCCACATGCAGATCAATCTTGAATTATTTCACATACATGTAACTATGTTGCCAAATCTGAAAAATGTGAAAGACACTGTTGCCTTCATATAATAGCCTATGGCAAAGTAGAATTTCAATGCAAGTTAAACTTCAAGGAGAAGTGATCAATAAAAATGATTTTTTTTCAAATACTTATGAATAAACCTATGAAATATAAAAGCCCAAGGTAATCCTTCAAAAGTTATGGCCAATGCTAATTTTTTTTTGAAGAGAGAGTCTAACTCGCAGGTCAATGTCAAATGGTAAGAATCAGTTATCTCCAGGAAAGGACTAGTACTTGTCACAAAAATATACATGTGAAATACAAAAGCCCTAGCACCAACTGTTTAAGGTTATATCCATAGTGTAATTTTTTTTTAAAACTAGATCAATTTCCAAGGTCAAGGTTAAAAAGGTCAAAGTTGTTGCTACAATGCATAAGTATTCATAGAAAGATTTTGTCACAAGGAATACGCATGAAATATAAAAGCCCAAGTTCTAAATTTTGTTCAAAAGTTAGGGCAAAGGTTATAGATTTTTTAGTGGGCCAAACTTTAAGGTCAAAATCAAAAGGTCAAGAATACTTATACCCAGAGAAAGGTCTTTCACAATGTGTACACAAGTAAAATATAAAAGTCCTAGCTCCAAGGTCAAGTCAAATATATTCATACCCAAAGAAAGTATGTCTTGTCCAAGAAAAGGTCTTAATTGTCACAAGCAATACAAAAAAGTTTTGTGAGACAAAATATTAACAGAGAAAAAGACAGACAGGGCAAAAACTATATACCCCAAATCTTTGATTACATGGGCATAAATATATTTTGTTGAAAAAAAAATAATATTATTAAGATGAATGGCTCTTAACCATTTTTTATTAAGAGATGGTCATTTTAGCTCACCTGATCTGAAAGCTCAAGAGAGCTTTATTGTTCATATTTTGTCCGTCTTTCGTCTGTCTGTCCATACGTCTGTAAACTTTTTACATTTTTTACTTTTTCTCAAAAACCACTTAAGACAATTTTAACCAAACTTGCCACAAAGCATCCTTGGATGAGGGGGATTCAAGTTTGTACAAACAAATAAACTCATTCAAGGGGAGATAATTAAGAAATAGTGAAAATTTGGTCACATGTTTTAAAAATCTTATCCTCAAGAACAACTGTGCCAGGAAAAATTAAACTTATGGTGAAACATCCTCAGGTAGATTCAAGTTTGATCAATTCATGTTCCACAGGGTAGTTGTGAGCCCATAATGGGCAATCAAAGTATATAGGAAAAACTTATTAAAATAATATTTTCTCAAGAATTGTAAAGACATTATTGGTCATATTTATATGGAAGCAAGAGATAGATTGGGAGCACAATGGATGATCAAAGCAATATTTTGGAAAATTATCCTTAAAAATCCTCTTCTCAAGAACAACAAAGCCATGATTGTTCATATTTATACTGAAACACCCTCTGGTCATGTAGATTCTATCATAAACATTTGTTCTAATCATGACCCCCCTATTCCCCCTCATGATTAGGGCCTGGCATAAAGGATAATGATCAAAGTTTTTCATAGAAGTTTATCTGAAAAATCTATAAAAATCTTTTTCTCAAGAAGCACTGGGCCAGAAAACCTAAAACTTATGTGAAAGCATTCTGGAAGTGTTCAAATCATGGGCCACAATAAGGAATCAAATTTTACAGCGAAATATATATAGAAAAAATCTTTGAAAATCTTCTTATCAAGAAACACTGGGCTAGAAAAGACTTATTAGCTCACCTGAGCTGATTGCTCAGGCGAGCTTTTCTGATCACCTGTTGTCCATCTGTCTGTGTAATCCAACTTGGTACAAAGCATCTTTGGGTAAAGGGGAGTTTAAATTTTTAAAATGAAGGGCCAAGTCCACGTTCGAGGGGAGATAATCAAGAAAAGATAAGCTTGATAACTATTACTTATTAAAACAATTTCAAATAAATCTGCTGCTTTAAGTAGAGGTCCAAGGATTTCAGGGGGTCCAAGGTGACTTTCACTGCCCCCCCCCTCCCCCCCCCAAAAAAAACCCCTCTAAATTTGCACATGCAGTTCATGGTTGTCATAAACTTATCATTGTCAGTCACTCAGATTTATTCACTTGAAAGACCAAACGGAGGTATAATAAATAAGATATGAAAATTGAGCGAGAGAGTTAAAAAAAATTTTTTTCAACAAACTAGATTTGTTTCTGAAACACAAATGCCCATGCATGACAGCTTATGGCAAGGGTTGAAGTTTCTCAAATTTCAAAGTTCAAGGTCAAAAGGTCAAAATTGTTGATGTCCAAAGAAAGTTCTTGTCAGAAGGAATACATCTTTGAAATATGAAAAACCCTTGTACTAACAGTTGAAAAATTATGGTTAAGATTAGTTTCCTTAACAAGGATCAAACTCTAAGGTCAATTTCAAAGTATGAAAGCCATAGCATCAGCTACATGTATTCAAAAGTTATGGCCAACTAGGTTAAAGTTCAGAAAGTTTGGTAAAAGTGGGTCAAACTCCAAGGTCAAGTTCTAGAAGTCAAATTTGTTGGTCTTGTTACAAGGAATACTGCTGTCAGTGAAAATTATGAAAACCATAGCCCCACCCACTCAAAAATTACGTCCAAGGTTTAAATTTTTGGGGACAAACGTCTTTAGCTAAAGTAGTGTTCATTCTAATATCTTCAAATCATGATCCTCAGGGTCTTTTATATTGGTGTATTCAAAATTAAGCATAATCATCACTAGGTATTGAATTGTTGGTATATTCTTGATTTAGCGCTACACACATCCACGTTGTATGTTGTATTTATATAATGATTTCGTATGGGTTTCTTGAATTAGTGCATCAATGTCTGTGCCAAAGCAGCTAAAATATGAAGCCCGCTTTTTTAAGTTTATATTATTACTACAGTAATAGTATATCTACGGGTACCTTCACTGGCAAAAAGATTTGAAATTGGAAAACTATGACTATGAACGGGATCTGTAATCTGACCTCAACATGACCCAGAAAAAACCCTGAAACTTGTAGTGACTTATTATAAAAATCAAGGGAAATATCTGTGTTGTGTATACTGATAGCGTTTTCTTGTTTTTATCTAGATGGAGCCACGACGATCTACGAGGATTCGGCGTCGCCCTGCCTGGCACGCCGACTACGTGATGGACTTCCCGGTAAGTTTAATTATAGCTCACAATGTCCATTTCTTAGTTTATAAGGCTACAGTGAAAAAGAAATTTAGATTCTCATCCAAATTTTTATCCCCTGCCATATAATGGGCGGGGGCATATATATATAGTGTTACCCTGTAACCTGTTCCATCATTCTGTCCTCATTGACTTTCCATTCCTTATCTTAACAGACAGCAACAATTACACACATTCATCTCAAAAGGAGATGGGTGAAATTAGCGTGCAAAAAACCCACAAGCTTCGTATATAATAAAAATCGTATTCAAATTGTGATTTTAGTATTTAGAGTAAAGTTCTCATCATTGATTTTTGTAAAATCATGATAAACAAAAAGTTTTGAGGAAAAATTTTTTTAAAATTAAAATTTATTCTTTTATAAAGAAAAATAATGTGGTATCCATTGGGTTCGAACCCTGGCAATAAAAATTCTGAGTTGCATTCTCTATTGAGACTAGCACGCTAACCACTATGCTACACAAGTCCTGATGAAGTGTGGCATTTAATCGTGTTTGTGATATGACCATTGACTTAAGGGACTTCAAGTATTTCTCGAAAAGATACGAAAGGTATGTCATAAACTTGTATTTTTAAGATATAGTGGGTCATTGCTCCATAATTTTGGAAACCAAAATATGTATGTTTTTATGCAAACATTGAGGATTACCTTTCAAAAAAATGGAGAGAAGACCCACTCATAACGAAAAATAGTGTTATAGTGTGAAAAAATGACTCGTTTTGTCCTCTTTCGTGTGTGCATAATATTTCATAGGCAAATAACTTCAATTTTCCTGAGATTTGTGCAAGTTGTAGAGATTTTACATAAAGTATACTTTAATGTTAGATGAAATATGAAAGAAAATTTTGATAAAATTGAGATTTAATTCTCACCTTCATGTTTGTCGCGCTATGGGCATATCTCTCGTCATGTTCACCCATCTCCTTTATATGGATACGTTATAGGAATATGTATATACATGTAGTCAAGTTTGAATTTGGTTATGATCCAATATGATTTTGACAGAGTTATTCCTCTTGAACTAAAAAAATTTAAGAATAAAATTTCAGTTTCCACTCTTTAAAGTTTTAAAGGATGTACATGTATTGATAGGGTGGTATTTTACCAGAACATTCAGGTCAAGTTCAACTGATTTTTGACAGAGTTATCCTTCTTGAACTTAAAAAATAACTTTTCATTTTCCACTCTCGGACTTTTGTAGGGATGTACGTATGTTAATATTGTATGGGCAGACAAGAATAAGGTGCAATTTTGGGATTTATTTTGCTCTAAAATTTCATGTTCTTAAAAAGTTTTGAAATTGGCTTTAATATAAGTTGAGAATTAAAGAATATGGCATGAAGAAAAATACTGGTCAAGTTTGAATTTGGTAGTGGTACGATGAAACTTTTTGAAAATTCATTTTAATGACATTAATTTTATTTGTTTACTGTTAATGTTTCACATTTGATTTAAATGTCTTTTATTTTTAGCTCAGCTGACCTGAAGGCTCAAGTGAGCTTTTTTGATCACATTTTGTTTGGCATCCGTCTGTCTGACTCCGCCATCTGTCTGTCCGTCTGTCTGTAAACTTTCGACTTCTTCTCAAGAACCATGCAAGTAGGCCAATTTCAACCTGAAACTTGCCACAATGAGTATCCTTGGGTAAAGGGGATTCTCAAGTTTGATCAATTGAAGGGCCCAAATTCTCTTTCAAGGGGAGATAATTAGGATTTATTGTAAAAATAATGGCATCATTTAAAAAATCTTCTCCTCAAGAACCACTGGTCCAGACGATGAAACTTAATATAGATTGGAAGCATCATAACGTAAGGTAGATTCATCCTAGTTTGTTCAATTCATGACCTCCAAGAGCAGGGTCGGGCCACAATGGGTGATTAAAGTTTTGCATAGGAATATATAGGAAAAATCTTTAAAACTTTAAAATGGTTGATCAAAGTTTAACATGTGAATACATAGGGAAATTCTTTAAAACTCTTCTTTCTAAGAACAGTTGAGCCAATATTGGTCATATCTCAATGGAGGCTACCTCAGGTAATGTTGATTCAAGTTTCTTCATATCATGACCTCAGAGGGTTAGGGTTATAGTTATTTCAAGATTAGAAGAGCCATGATTAGTCATATTAACATGGAAGCATCCTCAGGTATAGTCTTAAATCAGATTTGTTCAAATGAGGGCCCACAGGGGGTAGGGCTGGTTCACAAGGTGGGGTCAAATTTTTGCAAATCAATAAAAAGGAAAAAATATTCTGTTCAAGAACAGCAAAGTCATTTGATATATTGATATAGTAGCTTCATCAGGTGGATTAAAATTCACCCCCCCCCCTTTCCTCCTCATAACTTTTCAATTCTGAATTGATTGCTTCTTTTTCTAGCCAATGTGCTCAGGTGAGCGATGTGACCCATGGACCTCTTGTTAGTACCTTTTATGGCTAATAAAAGAAGTTTTTCAAGATATTTCTTTTAGTTTTCTAAATTCAGTATTTTCATCAAGTACGTAATATAATAATCGTGAAGTGATTCTCTTACATCAAACGGCGTGTTGTTACAGTTGTGACTAGAATTTTAATGTAGATTTTTGATAAATTTCAGTACCATAAAAATGAAGGTGTATGTTTTGGAATCTTATAATGATTGCCAATAGATGGCTACAAATTTTAGACTTGTACTTAATTAGCACTTTTGCCTAATGAGCAGTGAAGGATTTTTATGCCCTGCCATGAATATGGCTGGAGCATATAGTGTTCGTCATGTCCGTCTTCCGTCCTTCTGTCTGTCCTTCCATCATACTTTGCATTTAGCTTAGTCCAAAGCTAAGTTTCAAAGAAACTATTCGAGATATTTTTATCAAACTTCAAATGCTGATAATTATTGATGAGAGCTGTGCAACTGCATCAACATTTGTTGACCATGATCTTTCCTTTGACAACACTTTTCTTAAACAAGTGTTAATAATTAGCTCAGTTTAAGATTCTATTTGAGATGCAGTAAAACTCGGTTATAGTGAAGTCCTGGGGACCTGTGAAATTAATTCGCTATATCCGTAATTCGTTATATCCGTATAACAAATTTGTATAACCATATATAATAGCGAATTCACAATATGCATGTTTTCTGTAATGTGCTACTACCAAATATGTTACGGGAGCAAATATTACAAAACATATCTTTAATAACTTGTGATTTATTATGAATTGAATTTTATATACAAATGCAAAAATAAAATAAAGTCAGTTCAATTTAACAAATTTTGAGATCTCTGAAAATTCATTATAAAAGATGTTAATTTCCTTAATATTTAACCTCAGCGGGACTCAAAATCAGTTCCCTATATCCATAAATTTGTTATATCAGAGTTCGTTTTAACCGTAAAATTTTATGAAGATTTGTTAAGAATTTTGCAGGGGACCCAGAAAAACTTCGCTATATCCGTGTTGATCTTATCCGTGTTCGTACCAAATGAGTTTTACTGTAATGTGATTAATTTTCATATGTTGATCCTAGATACTGATGTAACCTTTTCAACTGTATCAACATCTTTTGATCTTGACATTTTCTTTGAACTCGACATCACCTTTTTAGCTCACCTGAGCCGAAGGCTCAAGTGAGCCTTTCTGATCAAAATTTGTCCGTTGTCTGTCGTTGTTGTCGTAGTAGTCGTAGTTGTCGTAAACTTTTCACATTTTCATCTTCTTCTCAAGAACCACTGGGCCAATTTCAACTTAACTTGCTACAAAGTATCCTTGGGTAAAGGGGATTCAAGTTTGTTCAAATGAAGGGCCATGCCTTTTTCCAAGGGGAGATAATTATGAATTAGAGAAAAATTAATGGCATTTTTAAAAAATCTTCTTCTCAAGAACTACTGAGCCAGGAAAGGTGAAACTCATGTGGAATCATCCTCAGGTAGTGTAGAATCAAGATTGTTCAAATCATGACCCCCAGGGGTAGGATGGGGCCAAAATGGCTGATCAAAGTTTTACATAGGAGTATATAGGAAAAATCTTTGAAAATCTTCTTATGAACCATTGAGACAGGAAAGATGAAACTTGTGTGAAATTATCCTCAGGTAGTGTAGATTCAAGTTTGTTCAAATCATGACCCCAGGGGATAGGGTGGGGCCACAATGACTCATCAAAATTTTACATGGGAATTATAGGTATAATCTTTAAAAATCTTCTTCTCAAGAACAATTGAGACAGGAAAGATGAAACTCATGTGAGATCATCCGCATTTAGAGTAGATTCAAGTTTGTTCAAATCATGATCCCCAGCCATTAGGGCGATGCCAAAATGGCTGATCAAAGTTTTATATAGGAATATATAGGGAAATCTTTTAAAATCGTCTTCTCAAGTTCTTCAAAGCCATGATTAGTGATATTCATATGGAATATAAAGGTAGTGTAGATTATAGTTTGTTCAAATCATAACCCCCGATATAAGGTGGGGCTACATTGGGGGACCCAAGTTTTACATTTAAAAATATTTTAAAAATCTTCTTCTCAAGAATACAAAGCCATTATTAGTGATACCAGTATTTATATGGAAGCATTCTCAGGTAGTGTAGGATAAAATTTGTTCAAATCACAACCCCCAAGGGTAGGATGGGGCCACAATGGTGGATCAAAGTTTTACATAGAAAAAGAGAGGGAAAAATTCCATGAACAGAAAGCTATGTTTAGTCATATTGGCATGTAAGCATCCTCATGTATGGAAGCATCCTCATGCCCTTTGGGGTATGGAGGGAAACAATGGGAAATCAAATTCAAATTATTATGAAGAAATCTTTTTATCAAGAACAGCAAAGTCATATGCTGTATTGATATGAAGGCATTTTCAAATAGTATATTAAAATTCAAGCCCCCCCCCCCCCCCCCCCCCCCCCCCCTCAGTAAACTATCAGTTCTGATCTGATACGTGCTTTTTCCTAGCCGTTGTGCTCAGGTGAGCCCCTGGGCCCCTTGTATAAATAAAAGTATAGATAAATAAATATATAAAGTGTTTAGCTCAGTTTTGAATAAACAATTCAAGATATTTTTTATCAAACTTCATATGCTGACACATACATATGAGTAAATTTTTTTAACTTTGATATTTCCTATTACCTTGACCTCATTTGTTAGCTCACCTGAGCCAAAGGCTCAAGTGAGCTTTTCTGATCAAAATTTGTCTGTTGTCTGTCGTTGTCGTCGTTGTTGTCGTTAACTTTTCACATTTTCATCTTCTTCTCAAGAATCACTGGGCCAATTTCAACCAAACTTGGCACAAAGTATCCTTAGATGAACGTGATTCAAGTTTGATCAAATGAAGGGCCACGTCCACTTCCAAGGGGAGATGATTATGAAGTAGTGAAAAATTAATGGCATTTTTAAAAAATCTTCTTCTCAAGAACCACTCGGCCAGTAAAGATGAAACTCATGTGGAAGCATCCTCAGGTAGTCTAGATTCAAGTTTGTTCAAATCATGACCCACAGGTGTAGGGTGGGGCCATAATGGCCAATCAAATTTTTTCATAGGAATATATAGGAAAAATCTTTCAAAATCTTCTTCTCAAGAACCACTGGGCCAGGAAAGCTAGTTGAAACTCAAGTGGAATCATCTTCAGGTAGTGTAGATTCAAGTTTGTTCAAAACATGACCCCCAGGGCTAAGGTGGGGCCACAATGACCGATCAGATTTTTTCATAGGAATATATAGGAAAATCTTAAAATCTTCTTCTCAAGTACTTCAAAGCCATGATTAGTGATATTTATATGTATATGAAATCATCCTCAGGTAGTGTAGATTCTAGTTTGTTCAAATCATAACCCCCAGGGATAGGGTGGGGCCACAATGGGGGATTCAAGTTTCTGTATACTTTTCAGTTCTGATCTCATTCCGATTTGCTCAGGTGAGCGATGTGGCACTTGGGCCTCTTGTTTAAAATTTGTGTTCAACCAAGTTTAAAAAAAAATTAATAACATTTTAATCAAACTTCATATGTTGATACATGCTGATGTAAGCTTCACAACTACATCAACATTTTTATACCCCAAGCTTTACTTTAACCTTGACCTCTCTTTTCTTAAATTAGTGTTTAACTCAGTTTTAAATTTAAACAATTCAACATATTTTTATCAAACATAAGATGCTGATACATATTAATGAGAGCTATTCAAATGCATAAAAACTTTTAACCTTTAACTTTCTTTTGACATTGACCACCATTCTCTTTAATTTGCATTTTGGTTAAATTTAAAGGAACCATTTAAGATATTTTTATGTATGCACTTATACATTACTTGAGATTTTATCATATACAGATCTATATCCATTCTTTAGATTTCAATTTCAAGATTTAAAGATTCTCATCAGACTTCATACACCTATACAAACCTTCATGTTGAATTAGTAATATACACTAGACAGGGCATTCATGTCATATGGATATACACTTGTACTTCTAGTTTTTTGCAGGCACCTGATTTTTAACGGGTATTCGATTATCATTTTATCTAAATGACCAGTACCCAAGTCCCACAGTGTGTTTTAAACCTCAATGTATATAGATATAATGGTATTCTGTCCCTTTTCTAATTTTCTTTTTTTCTTTTAGGTGCGGAAGTCCATCAGGCAGCAGAGGGTGGGGGCTGGAGATGGTCTCCAGCAGACAGAGGAGATGGCACTGCCTTCTCACCATCTTGTGCTTGATCTTCCTGAGGAGGAGCTTGAACAAACTGAAGAGGTGGCATCGCCGTCTTGTCAGTCTGTGATAGCTCACCCTCAGGAGGATGCTGTACAGGATGAGGGGATTGCAGCGCCAGCTCCCAAGCCTGTGATTGATCTTCCAGAGATGGAGCTTGAACAAACTAAGGTGATGGCCGTGCCATCCTCTCAGTTTGTAATAGTTCCCTCTCAGAAAGATCATGGCTTTGCATGGGCCTGGGAGATGGTATCGCTATCTTCTCTGGCTGCTGGAGAACATCCTTCCTGGCTTCCATTTCGATGCTGGCCGCCGCTGGAAGTGATTCCCCAGGATAAGCCACCACCAGAGGGGAAGTCCGACATTGGACGCATCATTACGGCTACGGACTGTTTGGAGTGGATGTTAGGGATTGGGACTTTCTTTCTGGTGAGTCCTTTTCCCTATTTACATTACATGCATACATTACATTCATACATTACATACATACATTACATACATACATTTCATACATACATACATACATACATTACATACATACATTCACACATACATTCATTCATACACTACATACATACATTACATACATACATTCATACATACATACATTCATACACTTCATTCATACATTACATGCATACATTACATACATACATTACATGCATACATTACATACATACATTACATACATACATTACATGCATACATTACATACATACATTACATGCATACATTACATACATACATTACATGCATACACTACATACATACACTACATACATACACTACATACCTACACTACATACATACACTACATACATACACTACATACATACATTACATGCATACATTACATACATACATTACATACATACACTACATACCTACACTACATACATACACTACATACATACATACATTACATATATACATTACATATATACATTACATATATACATTACATGCATACATTACATATATACATTACATACATTACATACATACATTACATACATACATTACATACATACATTACATACATACATTACATACATACATTACATACATACATTACATACATACATTACATACATACACTACATACATACATTACTTACATACACTACATACATACACTACATACATACACTACATACATACATTACATACATACATTACATACATTACATACATACATTACATACATACATTACATACATACATTACATACATACATTACATACATACATACATTACATACACACATTACATGCATTACATACATGCATTACATACATACATTCATACATTACATACATACATTACATACATTACATACATTACATACATTACATACATTACATACATTACATACATACATTCATACATACATAACATATATACATTACATTACATACATCCATTACATACATTCATTACATGCATCTGTTACAAACATACATACATAACATACATACATTACATTACATACATCCATCCAAACATTACATTACATTACATACATACATTCATACATTACATGCATTACATACATACATTACATACATTACATACATTACATACATACATTACAAACATACAATACATACATACATTACATACATACATACATACATACATACATACATACATACATACATACATACATACATACATACATACATTCATACATTACATACATACATTACATACATACATACATACATACATACATACATACATACATACATACATACATACATACATACATACATACATACATACATACATACATTACATACATACATACATTACATTCATACATTACATACATACATACATACATACATTACATACATGCATTACATACATACATTACATACATACATTACATACATACATACATACATACATACATTACATACATACATACATACATACATACATACATACATACATACATACATACATACATACATATATTACATGCATACATTACATACATACATTACATACATACATACATACATACATACATACATACATACATTACATACATACACTACATACATGCATTACATACATTACATACATACATTACATACATACACTACATACATACATTACATACATACATACATACATTACTTACATACATACATTACATACATTACATACATACATTACATGCATACATTACATACATGCATTACATACATACATACATACATTACATTACATACATACATACATACATTCATACATTACATACATTACAAACATACATTACATGCATGCATTACATACATTACATACATACATTACATACATACCTTACATACATACACTATATACATACATTACATACATACATTACATACATACATTACATACATACATTACATACATACATTACATGCATACATTACATGCATACATTACATGCATACATTACATACATACATTACATACCTACATACATACATACACTACATACATACATTACGTAAGTGATCAAACTGTATAGATACATACATACATACATACATACATACATAACATACATACATTACATTACATACATACATTACATACATCATACATGCATACATAACATACATACATTACATACATACATACATACATACATACATACATACACTACATACATACATTACATACATACATTACATACATTATATATATACATTGCATGCATACATTACATACCTACATCACATACATACATTGCATGCATACATACATACATACATTACATACATTACATACATTACATACATACATATATACATACATACATACATACATACATACATCCATACATACATACATACATTACATACATTACATACATTACATACATTACATACATACATACATACATACATACATACATTTACATACATTACATACATACATACATACATACATACATTACATTACATTACATACATTACATACATACATTACATACATACACTACATACATACATTACATACATACATTACATACATACATTACATACAAACATTACATACATTACATACATTACATTCATATATTACATTACATACATACATTACATACATCATACATGCATACATAACATACATACATTACATACATACATAACATGCATACATTACATGCATACACTACATACATACATTACATACATACATTACATACATACATACATTACATACATACATACATTACATACATACATTACATACATACATTACATACATACATTACATACATACATAACATACATACATACATTACATTTATACATTACATACATGCATTACATACATACATATATACATTACATACATACATACATACATTCATACATACATTCATACACTACATACATACATTACATACATACATTCATACATACATACATACATACATACATGCATACATTACATACACATACTTACATACATACACACATTACATACATACATACATACATACACATACATACATTACATACATACATACATACATACATACATACATACATACATACATACATACATACATACATACATACATACATACATACATACATACATCACATACATTACATACATACATTACATACATACATTACATTCATACATTACATACATACATTACATACATACATACATACATACATACATACATACATACATTCATACATTACATACATTACATACATACATTACATACATACATTACAAACATACATTCATACATTACAAACATACATTACATACATACATTACATTCATACATTACATACATACATTAAATACATACATAAATACATACATTACATACATACATACATACATACATACATACATACATACATACATACATACATACATACATACATACATACATACATACATACATACATACATACATACATACATACATACATACATACATACATACATACATACATACATACATACATACATACATACATACATACATACATACATACACTACATACATACATTACATGCATACATCACATACATACTTTACATACATAAATTACATACATACATTTCATACATACACTACATACATACATTACATACATACATTACATACATTACATACATACATTACATACATACATTACATACATACATTACATACATACATACATACATTGCATGCATACATTACATACATACATTACATACATACATTACATACATACATTACATACCTACATTACATACATTACATACATACATTACATACATACATACATACATACACTACATACATACATTACATACATACATTACATACATACATTACATACATACATTACATACATACATTACATACATACATTACATACATACATTACATACATACATTACATACCTCCATACATACATACACTACATGCATACATTACATACATACATACATACATACATACATACTTTACCTTACCTTACCTACATACATACAGAAAGACAGACAGACAAAGAGACCAACAATCAGACAGGGAAACAATCAGACAAACAGACAGACAAAGAGACAAATGAGACAATTAGACAAACAGACAGCCTTGTTACTTGATCTTTAATAAGTTCCTCTTTTCTCTCATCTATCTCCCTCCTCTCTATCATCTATTTCTTCTTTGTTTTGAGATTTCTCTCATATTTTTCTTACTTTTCTCCTCTTTATCTTATGGATGCCTTGTCTAAATAATTCATTATATGCACACACCGCTATTTAGACTTAGTATCCATGGGCATTTCTTGGTTTCATTTCTCCTGTACTGCTTTTTTCCCCCGTCTCTTCACATACATACAAACAGACAGACAGATTGACAGACAATTAGACAGAAAAACTGACAAACATCTATCCATCCATAGATACCAACAGATATACATTCATATGTATCTACAATACATACTTACATAGAGACAGACTAACAGACAGACAGACATGTAACGATACATACATCCATACAAACATTTAAAGATACAGACACAGCAACAAACATGCATTTAGATGACACTGCAAGGATCAGACAAACAGACAGACAAACAGACAATGAGACACTCAGAGAAACAGACAGACAAAGAGACAAACAACAATCAGACAATGAGACAATTAGACAAACAGACAGACAGACAAACAAAGAGACACTCTATCACACAATGACACAATCACACAGAAAGACAGACAGACAAAGAGACAAACAATTGGACAGGGAGACTATCAGAAAAACAGACAGTCAGAGAGACAAAGAGTCAGACAATGACACATTCACACAGACAGACAAAGAGACAAACAATCGGACAGGGAGACAAACAGACAGACAATGAGACAAACAATCAGACAGGGAGACAAACAGACAGACAAACAGACAGACAGACAAAGAGACAAACAATCAGACAGGGCGACAATCAGACAACGAGACAAACACACTGACAGACAGACATTGGTACTTACATTGATACATTCTCTTGGTCATTTTCTTCATTCTCTAAAGCACCTTTCACTGGTTTTTTTTCTGCTCTTTCTCCTTTTTCTCTCCAACTCCCTTCCCTACAATGCATAGATAGATTACATACATTACATAAGTACACAACATGCATCTCTCACAAACATATTTATATTACAATCACAAAATACATACATTCCTTACATTCATTACATGCATACATTACATGCATTCCTTACATACATATACTTGTTACTTGATCTTTAACTGGTTCCTATTTTCTCTCATCTATCTCCCTCCTTTCTGTCATCTATTTCTTCTTTGTTTTGAGATTTCTCTCATATTTTTCTTTCTTTTCTCCTCTTTATCTTATGGATGCCTTGTCTAAGTAATTCATTATATGCACACACCGCTATTTAGACTTGGTTCCATTTCTCCTGTACTGCTTTTTCCCCCGTCTCTTCACATACATACAAACAGAGAGACAGATTGACAGACAATTAGACAGAAAAACTGACAAACATCTATCCATCCATAGATACCAACAGATATACATTGATATGTATCTACAATACATACTTACATAGAGACAGACTAACAGACAGACAGACATGTAACGATACATACATCCATACAAACATTTATAGATACAGACACAGCAAGAAACATGCATTTAGATGACACTGCAAGGATCAGACACACAGACAGACAAACAGACAAACAATCAGACAATGAGACACTCAGAGAAACAGACAGACAAAGAGACAAACAACAATCAGACAATCAGACAAACAGACAGACAGACAAACAAAGAGACATGCTATCAACAAACAATTGGACAGGGACACTATCAGAAAAACAGACAGTCAAAGAGACAAACAGTCAGACAATACACATTACACAATCAGACACAAACAGACAGACAATGAGACACAGACAAACAGACAGACAGACAAAGAGACAAACAATCAGACAGGGCCCCAATCAGACAGAAAGAGGAAGAGACAAACAATCAGACAGCCAGACAAACAGAAAGACTGCCAGACATAGGTATATACATTGATACATTCTCTTGGTCATTCTCTTAATTCCCCACAGCCCCTTTCACAGGGTCCATCTTCCCCTCTCCCCCTCTCCCTCTCACTCCCTTCCCTACAATTTATACATACATTACATTCATAACATACATCCATTCTTTACAATCATAACATACATACA